TTTCGTATGTGCATAAAGATTCCATTCATGAGTTCACAACCCAAGCCTAATGACCTAATCATGCCCTATTGACTACTATGTGTATCGCAAACATAGTGAATAAAATGGTAAAATGCACTCTGCAAATCGTGCGAGTAAGGAGTTGTCTTCCTCCTTATAACGCTATCCATAATGACCATGGGCAGTTAATGAGTTGTGTCAAATGATTCCAACGACTTAACCATGATACAAGCCTCATGAATTAAAGTAACATAGACATACATGCAAAATATAGCAACCAAGTTTATACGAGTCAAAATAAATACAACGAACATAAACCATTTAGGACATGCTTTTCCACCCCAAAACGTAAAAACCAAAAATATGGGGAGGTGTGAATACTCATAATGCTTCAAAAGTTACAAGTGATTCCTTGGGATACACCAACAAGTCTTAATATCGGGATCCTATGATAACAACACACTCTAGTGAGTTTCTATGTCACAAATCTAATACTAATATACAATTTCTACGTATAGAGAAATACCAAAACTTACTTTAAGAATTGGGTTTTAATTACTTGGTGACAAATTTTTCTGAAATTTTGGAATTTTGTATGTTCAAATACAATTTTAGGTGGTATTTTCCAGATTTTGTATTATTAATTGTAGAGCATTTTAATATTTTCAACGTTGTTTTAAATAAGAAAAATCCAAAATATTATCAAACAGTTTCCAAAAATCTTCAAACATTATATTTTTTTTTTTCTAAATACAGTGAAGGTCTTCCAAAAATGTTTTCTTGAATTTTTGATGTGTTTAATTATTTTTCCTTTATTTAATTTCTCAAATCAACACAAATTCATGAAAAACAGTGAGCAGTTAATAAAATTACCCAAACCTTTTGTGTCACCTATATACAATGTGTATAAGCTGGGAAAAATATTAAAAGTGGTTTTCATATAGTAAAGTCCGATTTTCATGATTTATGTGTATTAAATGTGAGAAAAATAGCATAAATAACTGATTACATAATTCTTCAAAAATTTGGTACGGTTTTTATTTTTATGAATAAAAGCTAAAAGAATTAACTAAATCATTTTTCAAATAGTTTAACCTGTTTTTATGATTTTTGTGTATTTATTCTAGCAAAAATGAAAATAAATATCATATAGTTCATTAAATTTCTAAAAACATTTATTTGTATTTAAAATGTAATACACGATGTTATAATGATTTCGTGTGATTTTTAGAACAGTTTAACTATTTTTCTTTCATTTATTCTCATAAATAAGAATTAATTCATGAAAAATTACTAAACAGTAAGACAAATTAACCAAACTTTTTATTTATGATTAATATGTGATATAAGGTATTCTGATGAAGTTTTATAATTTTTTAGATAAGTGTAGCTAGTTTTCATCAATTTAGTCTATTAAACATTCATTAAATCAGGAAAAATAAGAAATTGTCATGGAAAAGACTGTAAATTTGTTTATGGAGTTCGTATAATGTCCAGAAGATGCGAAAATGATCAAATATGGTTTTGAACATTCATAATTGTACTTTAATATTTATTTCTCTTCAAAAAATATAAATTCAAAATCAACATAAAAAAATCATAAAAATGCATGCAACTTCATGAAACGTCTTTACTCAGTGTATAGGTCATATCAGAAATTTTCCAGAATTTATTGACCATAAAAAGTATTTTATGTGAATTATTGCTCTATTTTCTTGCAATAATTATAAAAATTCGAGAAAAGTAAGTTATTATCTGAAAATTTCCAAAAATTCTCATTTTGTTGATGGGATTCTGGGAAGAATAATATTCGTGTTAAAAATGAGTTTTAGATAATTTGGTGGATTTAAATCACTTCATGTATGAGTTCAAACATTTTAACAACATACTTTAATCATCAAGCATCTTAGGCTTGAAGATCAACACATGCATGTTGGTTTAAGGACATGCATGAGTTTGAAAAGTAAAAATCATTTTTGAAAGAAAACATTGGTTCATATTATGATTTATCCACCAAACCTAGTATAAAAATGGTTTATTTTGATTTTAACATAGGTTTGGATAATTGTATTCCACCATTTGCTACATGCATGATGTTTTAAGGTGAAATCCTACCACCATCATCATCAAAATCGTGTTAATGGTATATGGTTCAAAATATTTTCATAGAATGGAGTAGAAGTAGAAAGAAATGCATAAAATGGTGAAATTATGTGTGGAAATGAAGGAAGAATGTTTGGCTTTCGTGATTACCTTAAGAATAACACTTGAAGAAGATGATTTTTGGTGTGGAAAGAACTTCTTAGATGCTAATTTTCGTGAGTTTGAGAGTGAGAAGGAAAGAGTTGAGTGGTGTATGTGGTGGAGTGTAAGAGAGAGTAAAGAGAGGAAGATGAAGTGTGGAGGAGAAGTACATGATTGAAATTATTGGGAAGAGGTGTCTTGGAGAGAGGGTGGCCGAATTTTGGGAGGATGAGAGATGCCCTCTCTCTCGTAATTACATTTAAATCATTTTCCTACATTTTATAAACTTTAAAAAATTTATAAAAATTATTTAGGTTTTGATTTATGCATTAATCTTTGATAATTTAGCTTATAACTTTAGGAATAAGATAAATGGTTGATTATGTCCAATAATTTAATTATTTTAACTTGGTATTATAAGGTTCATAACAAATTTTATGGAGTTTTAGGTGTTAAATTTTATAAAATTTAGGGTTTTGTGATTTTGTTAGATATCTAACCATATATGGAAGTGAAATTAAAAATTTTTAGTTTATTTTAGGGTTTCATAATTTTTTTTTTAATTATAAGAAATATTTGTAGCTTGTTCTCATTTGGGTATTGACATTCTCTACAGTAGTTGAACAATTCACTTGAATTGTAAGAGTCAAGTATATTAGTCCTAGATTTTAGTTGGATCCAAGTTTCTACATAATTTTGACCTGATTTCTACTGCTAGGTCAAATGTATGAGGTGTGTACATGATTTATGCAAAGGTGTTCAAGTCGAAGAATGACCTGAATTTGACAGTTGTCACAGTATCCCCCAGTCGAAAGAATTTCGTCCTGAAATTCAGTTAACGTCATCATTCGTCAACACATGGAATAGTTGAGGATATTTTTCCTTCATGAAGTCCTCATGTTCCCAGGTGTACTCCGACCCATGTTTTGAGTTCCATCGAACTTTCACAATTGGAATCTTGCTCTGCTTGAGCTGTTTCACCTCTCTGTCAAGTATTTCTATCGGATCCTCGATGAAATTCAGCTTATCATCAAACTGGATTTCCTCCAGAGGTACTATCAATGATTCATCAGCTAAACATTTCTTAAGATTGGAGATGTGAAATTTGTCGTGAATAGCACTCAAATCCTGAGGTAACTTGAGTTTATATGTTACCAAATCGATCCTTTAAATGACCTCAAATGGTCCTACATATCTTGGGCTTAGTTTTCCTTTCTTTCCAAAGCGTACATGCCCTTTCCAAGGCGATACCTTTAGAAGCACCGTGTCTCCGACTTGGAATTCTAAAGGTTTTCGACGGTTGTCTGCGTAACTTTTATGGCGATCTCTAGCGATTTTAAGCCTGTCTCTGATGATAGCAATCTTTTCAGTTGTTTCCTGGATAATGTCGAGTCTAGTCAACTGTCTGTCTCTGATTTCTGTCCAACACAATGGAGAACGACACTTACGTCCATACAATGCTTCATACGTAGCACATTGGATACTCGTATGGTAATTGTTATTGTAGGAGAACTTTATTAGAGGCAAATGAGTATCCCAATTTCCCTTGAATTCAATGTCACACGCCCGTAGCATATCTTCCAAGGTTTGTATTGTTCTCTCCGTCTGACCGTCTGTCTGAGGGTGGTAAGCTATGCTCAAATTTATCTGGGTTCCCAAGGCCTTCTTTAACATCCACCAAATTCGTGATGTGAAACGGCTATCTCTATCACAAATAATAGATGGAGGTACACCCATGCAGTGCCATAATTTTGTCAATGTAGATTTGGGCCAGTTTTTCCATCTTGAAGTCTTCCCGAATAGGGAGAAAGTGAGCAGATTTTGTCAGTATGTCCACCGTGACCCAAATCGAATCATGACCTTTAGAACTTCTAGGAAGATTGGTGACAAAATCCATGGATATTTGCTCCCATTTCCATTGTGGAATTCCGGGCTGTTGCAATAAGCCGTATGGTTTTTGATGTTCAGCTTTGACTATTGAGCATGTCAAACACTTTCCAACATACAAGGCAATGTCCTTTTTCATTCCAGGCCACCAATAGTACTCTTTAAGATTTTTGTACATCTTATCCGCTCCAGGGTGAATTGAGTATTTAGATTGATGAGATTCATCTAGTACTATGTCTCTCAGATTGTTAACCCTTGGAATCCAAAATTTGTTCTTAAAATAACGTATGCTATCAGGTTTGGTTTCAAATCTCACTTTTAAACCATGCAGAGTTTCACCTTGCATATTTTCCTTGATCAAGGCTTTCTCCTAGGCATCAATGATTTGAGATTTCAAGCTTGTCTGTATTACCATTCCTAAAGCTCTCACACAGGAAGGTTTCACTGTTTCTTTTTTGTTAAGCGCATCGGCTACTATGTTAGCCTTGCCTGGATGGTATCATATTTCGCAGTCATAATCACTAAACAACTCTACCCATCTCATTTGTCACATATCTAACATTTTCTGATCTAGGATATGCTGAAGGCTTTTGTGGTCGGTATAAATGATGCACTTGGTTCTGTACAAATAATGCCTCCATATATTAAACATTTACTCTTTAAAATATGACATAAATTTACAACATACATTTTTGTCTGTCGTAAATCATTGATATTTTACGTTATATGACATAAAGTTTATGACAGACTTCTTTGCCTGTCATAAAACAGTTGTCTGTCAAGAAAAACCTTTTTTCTAGCAGTGATTGTAATGAAAAAAAAAAAACTTGGTAGAAAAGATATTAGGTATCATTATGAGTTGGTGCTAATTTGGTAAACCTTGATGCTGCAATGCATATATGTAACAACTAACAAATTGTCTTGTCCAAATGAGGATTTTACAAGCAAATACCGCCAATAATTGATACAGCATGATAAAGAGGCAAACCTAATTCAATGCACGCATGTTCTTGCTTTTGTTCATAAATGCAATAATAGAGTTCGACAAAATCAAAAAGACAAACCACAAGAAGCTAAGTTTCACCAATATCGTTGTTATCAACAATATCAACAGGGTGATCACCAACCATGAAAGTACTGGTTTATTTGTCAACGGTTTAATCATAACCGAGCTCTCTGGTGAACCAAACCATAGAGCAGCTTCATCGTCATCACTAGGTTTCGAATCAAGCACCAACTTTAATAGGCCATCATAAGCAAGATCGTGATTATGTTTCTGGAAAATCGTTATCAACTTGTGTCGTCTACTTGAATCATCATTGTTGGAATATGAGTCAGACACCAGTTTCGCAATATCAGAGTCCAAATCACCATGGCCATCGTCATAGTACTGTAACAGCCCATGGTAAGTAAGACCCTTTTTGTCATCAAGATATTTGTCGTACAAACAGAGAACCTCATCGACCAAGGCGCTAATTTGCTCGTGACCATATTCAACGTTAACGTTTGTAACCACCAGGAAGGCAACCAGCGCTTCTTTACTAAGACCACCGTCTCTATTTATATCAAATAGATCGAAAATTTTCCCCACACTACACGGTGAAATACGATAATGTTAGCACATGGAAATGAAGGATCGATGGAGAGATTAACATGACAGTTATTTTATAAAGTTAAACAAATATAGGGTTACTTGGTTCGGTGTTTGATGAGCGTAGCAAAGGAAGATTTTGGAGTCTCGTTTTGCAATCCGCGTGATATTGATATCAAATTAGATTTCTCACCGTTTCTCAAAGATAACTGTGTCACATGTACAACATCCACATGCATTATTTCAGGCTTCAATGGCGTTACATATATGATCTTTGTTATACATTATATTCGTGGTATTAATAAAAAAACTTATATACCTCGATATTTAGTGATTCTTCAAGCTCTTTCAAAACAAGATCCATGGGAAAGCGTTGTTGTCGATCTTCACGCAGGCATCCGTATGCAATCGTTAAGAATTTGTTCATTGAATATGAGCTCATTTGTTTCCTTAAACTAGGATCGATAATCTTGTGAAAATTATTCATTTTAAAGTAGTCTAATAACAACAAGCCTTGGTCGTCTCTAATGGTGCACAGCCTCCCGCACAAAAGTTCAAGTAGTACCATGCCGAGAGAATATACATCTGATTCTTTGGTGACGATGCCAGTAGTGATGTATTCTGGTTCACAATAACCTGGTGTTCCACAAGCGTGGGTGATAATAGCACTTCTATCTAGACCTGATAAACTTAACTTGGATAATCCAAGATCAGAAATTTTAGCAACCCAGTTGTGATCTACCAAAATGTTTGCGCTTTTTATATCCCGATGGATTATGGCCTGATGCTTTCCGACATGATTATGGAGGTGTTCTAATCCACGAGCAATACCGACACATATTTTGAGTCTTTCCGGCCAGGTAAGAATATTGTAATTCGTATTATGATGCGTTAGATATTGATCCAAACTTCCTCGCTCTACATATTCATAAACAAGGATTTTCTCTTCCCCTTCTTCGCAATAACCAAGAAGAGAGATCAAGTTTGGATGTTTTTGACCGGAGAGCAACGAAATTTCTGTCAAAAACTCTTTTGACCCTTGTCCGAACTGCTCATATAGCCGCTTTACAGCGACTGTGGTAAGCTTTCCAGATATTAAAAGCTCTCCTCTGTACACCCGACCGTACCCACCTTTTCCGATACAAGTTTCGAAGTTGTTGGTTGCTATTTCTATCTCTCTGAATGAAATTTTGAGGTGTTCCGACTCTTTCAGTTGGGACATTTTCAGACCGAAATATACCAACAATCGAGATTCCAGAGGCAACTAAAAAGTATAACTAATTAAAAGTAAGAATGAGTACTTTACCTTAAGCAAAAATGGAGAGGCAAGACGGCTAGAAGAGAAACAGGGCGTGATTAAGAAATCTGAAGTTTCCGTATCGGGTTGTGTTGTGGGTGCAACAATTCAAACAAATGGGACATATTGTATAAACACATTTTCTTCGAGTCAACATCTTTATAGTCTACTCTTCAGTCTTCACTTCCAATAATTTATCGATTGCCGACAGTTTTTAATGTTTGTTTTATTCAATGATTTGGTTTTACGACGCATCACTCGTCATCCACTTCCTTTGTCCTTTACTTCTTTTTCATCGTGACCAGAATTTTCGAGGAAATATCATATAGTAATTTCATCTTTATCCACGTGATGTTCAAAATGTAGTGCTAATTAAATAGGAGAGAGGACTCCATTATCTCTTAAAAACCCATAATTTTCCACTAAAACTTCTATATTATATTCAATTTATGTTTCTTCAACCTCCATGTGCATCAACATTGTCTACAATTTATGAGTCCATTACGTACACCTATGTCCAATTTATTTTAGGTTGACAAATTTCGTATAACTTCTTTTAGCCGGCAAATTTTGGTTGCAGTGGCGGATGCCTTTAGGGGCTTGGCCCCCTGTTTTTTAGACTACTAATACCAAAAAATTAATGAATTAGCTTGTTTTTAAGAATAAAATCGATGCCGGCCCCTCTAATGATTTTGGAAGTAAGGTAACAAGAGTTAAAATGGAATGTAAATCATCCGCTAACAAATTATTGTTTGGAATAATATACTTTATAAAATAAAATATATACTGGCCCTCATAAAATTAAGAAAAATTAAACAAGTAAACTACATTATTATCCTATAACGATCGGTTACAATCAAAGCGATGAAATAGGAGGTATAATAGTACAAAAGTGGTTGAAGAAGATAGAAAAAGAAAGCATTAAAATATCAAATTAGTGAGATACGGGAAATTAAAGAAGCATCGTCAATTCGTCTTCCACCCTCGTCGTCGCCATGCCTCATCAACCACCACCGCCCAGGACACCGCTGCGACGTTCTCTCTTTCTATCTTGATTTGGTGGTTAGTTTCATCTGCTTTGGCTTTTGCTATTAAGACTCACAGTCATATACATATTGTTTATATTTATTACTTTTTGTTGATGCTTCTCTGTGTTGTCTTTTCAAAAGTGTTTTTAATAAATTACTTTTTGGGGCTTGCTTCTAGGAATGTCCATCCTTTGACACGTTTGTGTTTTGTGTTATTATTTAAAAATTGTTTATGCCATTGTTTGTCTTTTTATTTAAGGATTGTCAAATTCATGGAGTTATATCTTTTAAATATATATACTTTTTTTTTTGCATGTTTTTGCATGTTTTTTTTTTATTAGAATAAAAGTTTTGAAACAAACAAATAATAACGTACATATTTTTCTTATTCAACTATTAATTCTATAAGAAAAGATCATCATATGTATAGTTTATCACATTTGAATTTTTTTTCTCGGCCCCCCTCTTTATATCGTCCGTGTTCCGCCCCTGTTTGGTTGCCACATAAATCAAATTTTATATAATACAAATAATCAAACATAATTCAAAAATATTAGTCAGTGTTTTATAATTGTTCTCAATAAGTTTTTATATTTGAAAACAATTTATAAGTATATATTGATAATAATATAATATAACACATCTTTTTCAATACCATGGATTAGACGATTATTCATAAAGATGTAAGCCTCATTAGAATTTTTACATCAATGTGGAATATTTTTATGCATTTTTTCTCATGTTTTATAACTTTGCATTAGAAGACTTTTAAAGCGGTTTGCACCATGATGAAACTCTCATTTCTCAAGCTCACAAGAGGGAACCCTTTTTAAATCCACATATACGTGTTTCCTTCCGACCATCGAAAAATTAAAACATCAGTTGGTCTAAACTCTAAAGGGTTGTTTGGCAGGATTTGAATTTTTAAGATCTTAATTTTTAAGAGGTATGAATTTCTAAGAGGGTCTAAAACTTTAAGATCTGAATTTTTAACATGTTGTTTGGTTGGAACCTCTGAATTGTTGTGTTGAATTATAAAATGACCATTTTACCTTTTAGTGTTATGTTTTTTGTTGAATTCAATGCTTATGTAATTATAAAATAATCAAACCAACTTCTTGAATAATTATAACAAAAGTATAAACACAATACAAAATCCAAATTAAAAAAAAATCAAATCAGACATAAATATTTGACAAGTACAATACCCTTATCTAAGAGAACACAAAGAAAAACTTTGAATAAATCAGAAAATTGAAACCATTCCATTCATTCTTTGTGTTCCAAATTAGTGATATGTGGTTAGCTACTGGTGATTGTCATGAACCTTTCTTGTCCAATAGTATCCCACTGCATAAACATGGAACATTCAACATTAGTTTCATACAAATACAATCTTATATATCTTTTCAGAAGAGACAGAAAAGAAACATTCAACATTAGTTTCATCCACAGTTCCAATTGCTCAAGGTCAAACATCAATGCCTAAAGTTCCAATTGCTCAAATGAGAGATAGAAAAGGAACGATTTTGACAAAAAAAATCACAGCCTTCATCCACCATCATCTTGACCATCAAAAAATCACACAATGCTCTAAATCAATAACCAATTTGGAAACAATACATCAGTTTATGATAATAATACTCATTATTATACCAGGAAACTATAGATCAATAACTAATTTTAATTGAAGCTATGTTTCACCACCGATTCAAAACATCACAGAAAACCCAAAATATAAACATTTAAAAACTCATAATATTAAATCGATTTCGATTTCACATCATGAAAACATTTTGATTTCTCGAATGTGGAGTGATTTTAGCAACTTTGTACCTAACCAACGAAGGAGATCGGAGATCGCCTGGTGGAAACCAACGTTGTCGAGGGCGGAACCTGGAGAGGGCGGCACTTTCGAGGGTGGAAACAGCGACGTCGTAGCTTAGCTTCGGAGCTCGTAGTGTGACATCCCCAATTTCTCGGCCAGAAAATACCGGTTTCATTTATGCTTTTAAATAAAATCAGAGTAATCCTTTGATTAAAAGAGTTGCGGAATTTGTTCCCAAAACAAAATATGATAAGATAAAATTTATCAAAGCATTTCATAAAGAAATGTATTTTCATTTTATAACAAAACCTCGGGATGTCATGTTCCGATACAGACCAAAAGCATAAACAATACAAAATAGACCTTACAACAGTTACATATAACTACTGGTCTATAATCCAAAAATATCTTGACAATGTCATCCAACTTATGCTCTCGGGGCCACTACCTGTAATACAAAGAAAAAACTGAGTGGGTCAGGCTTGGGAGCCTGGTGAGCATATAGGGTTTTCAACCCACAATAAATAGTTATATTTAATTTCACCAACCAACAATAACCCGATTACCCATTCCCGTTATCCTCACTTTACGTCCCTATGACAACAACTATTTCAAGGGACCTAATCTAGGATTTTCATCGGGACAGACATTACTGCAAAGGGGTTTCCTTGACAATAGATGTCCTAAAGGCAACCATGAGGGGGATAGAGTACACCGGTGAACACATCGTTCACAACACCTACAGGTTATGAGCCTGCTAGCGTTCCACTGGACTGTCTAGAAAGAGTCTGTGGTCGTCATCCATACTCCGCTAGATGACTAGATCAACAACAACATCGAGGCCTCTCATCATTTTATTTTATCACACACCAACTGTCTACCCATGTTCTACCCAACATATTAGTAGATAAAATATATACATTTATATACAGCTTAAAACCTGTACAAAACATTCGTTCAACAACTAGTTCAAATAAACAAATAATATATAAACACATAGCACGTATTTTATAAAGAATACTTCATATCTATGTGTTAGAAGAAAACGAAAATACACTCACATGATCAGAAGATGATCGGACAGCACTACGGCTCTAAAAGTAGTATTCTTCGGTGAAACCGGGAGATCTTCACACACCGGGCTTCTCGCGGGCAGAGCTTCGGCTCGGAAACTCTTTTCTTCTCGGGATCTTCGGAGCTTCGGGACTCGCTTCGGGTCTCGGGATGATACCGGGGCTTCAGGGGTACTTCAAGATGGCTAGAGAGAGTATCGGGAGTGAGAGAGAAGGGATAGGGCAACCAAAATCGGCTGACCCTCGATTTCTATTTATAGGGCCAACATTCGGGATTCACGTCGTGAGTTTCCAATTCTCACGTCGTGAGCCTAGTAGGTCACTGCGTTCGTCACTCGTCCACTTGTTCTGGAAGATGTCCATCATTTGCTCACGTCGTGAACATTGTGCTCACGTCGTGAGTTCTGACACAGCCTCGAATATTGTATTCCAAACTTCATAAATTCATATCTTTCGTATACGAGCTTCGTTTTCGACGTTCTTTATATCCACGTGTGTAGGTGAGATCATGCTCTACAACTCTCGTTTAGACTCCGTCGGCTAATTTTGATTTTATTTTTATTATATTATTTTTTAGTAGTCCGGGACAGGAAAACTCCGTTATAAATCCATAACTTCTTCATACGACGTCCGTTTTCGTCTGTCTTTTTACCATTGCACTACTATTTACGAGATCTTCGATTCTCGTTTAGATTGTTTCGGCTAGAAATCACTCGATCTCAAAATCGAACTTCGGGCTGCATTCTGCTAAGCTGAAACTTAGAAAAATCATAACTTCCTCATACGAAGTCAGATTTAGATATTCTTTTTATGCACGCTCTCGGTTTAACATATTCTACAACTTCCGTCTAGATCACTAAGGCTAAATATTGTTCTATCTTAAATTCATATTTTACGTCATTCAGCGTCGTGCCAGTTCTGTCGCGAAACTTCGACAGGTCATAACTTCTTCGTTATAACTCGGATTTCAGCATTCTTTATATATTCGGAAACCTCGTCACGACCACTACGTCTTCATGTATCAATATTGGGTTTATCTAACATTTCATTTTCACGCTTGTTTTTATTCTTAATTCATTTAAGCCACACAATTAAGCAATTAAGCATAAAACACATAATAATCAAATAATACATTCTTATTATTTCAAAATGGGCTACAAAGGTTAACCTAGACTATTACATCATCATTAATGCCTAGCCTAGAAACAC